CTGAAAGTTTTGTTTCAGTTATAAATGTGTCATCTGAGATTATGATGCAAAAAATATTCTTACTGGGTCAGACATTCAAGGAAATTGTAAAGGCAGAACGCCCTTTCCCACCCCGTGGGGGTCTCCGTACCAGGTCTAAGTACACCTTTGTGCTCATCTCCTCATCCTTCTCGTTCTAAAAGGGAAAAGGTTAAAGGGTGAGGTGAGTGGAGAGGAAAAAGTGGACTTGGCTGATCAAGCTTCGTCGGAAACTCCCCTTTTTCTGAGTCCCACCCTCTTGGGTCCAAGCCCCCCCTTCTAAGACGTCGCGTCATGTTTAAGCCCCACCTCTATCTCCGAGGTCTGTACTCCAGCGGTCTATACGGCCAATCAATTAATCTACAGGTCCTGCCCCCATGCCGGCCCTCCCCCTGGTTCTGTCCCACAGCCCATAATTCACTCAACCCAGAATCTCTGGTTGCTGTGGTTTATTGAACCTGTTCTGCACCAAGGTCCGCCCCGTGCCCGTGACCCCGCCCCAAGACCTGCCCCCCAGCCATAAGCGACCCCCAGCTTCACTTCAAGATCCACCCAAAGGCCTGTTCGTTAACCTACTCAGCTCTACGACTTTCAGGTCCAGCAGCCTTGCCCACAGCGTGTCCATTGGTTTGATTGTAACCCAATCCGGGCTAACGACCGCGTCTTTCGCCCTGCCTGGTCTCGCCCCAGGCCCCGCCCCAGGCCCCGCCCCCAGCCGACAATCCCTGGGGCCTTGCCTAAAGCCACGCCCCCCAATTGGCCTGACTTCCAAACCCTTGTGCACCCTCACCAGGCTGATGAGTTGCGCTAGGCTGAGACCGATGCTGACCCAGACGCGGTCTCCCACGTCCCGTGCCGGCCGCACAGAGCTATCGTAGCCCGAGAAAAGTTTCTCGAGGAGCCGGCCCTCCGCCGGCGAGCCACGGACGCCTGCAAGAGGGAATACTAAGTGAAGCCATGGGGCCCGGCCACAACCCCTGGCCCAATAATTGTCCGTTTGACGCCCAGACTTACCCCGGACGAGCGGCGCCCCCAGGGCCCCCAGCAGCAGCAGCGCCCCTAGGGTCATATCCCAGCCGTTTTGCTCAGTCACTTCGCTGACTGAGCCACCGGGACAACCAGCGCAGGGGAAGTGACGAGGCGCCCAGGAATGTGCACCTGTTGTTGGGGGGGGCAGCCGCCAGCCCACCCGCTCCGCCCCTGGGACTTGGTCCCGCCCCAAGCAACTGCCAATGCCCGCCACCCACAGATGACAGACAATACTTGAGTTGTATAAATCGTCTTTAATTGAGAGCATGGAGTGGGGACTCCATCCCTTGAGAGCAAACCCAGGAGATGGGTGGGGCCTGAGCGGGGTCTGTGTGGGAGAGGGGAGTACCCACTCCTCTTGTAACAAGCCAGAAGTAGAAAGAGCCTGAGGAAAAGTGGCCGGCCTCTGAGCCCTAGCCCCTTCCTTTAGGACCTCCTCAGTCTACCCTGCCCAAGTCAGATGCTGTTCAGAGTCTCCCTCCTAGTTCCTGGTGGGTTTCTGGTCTTTTTCAGGCCTGCCCCTACCTCTCCATGCTTTTCAGAGAAATCTAGTCAGGCGCTTTTTGGGTACTTAAAACCCAGCTAAGATTATAAGCTGCAAGGTAAAGAAAGTTCTATTCAGTTAGAAGCTCTGAGGGTATATGAGGTCTAGAGCCTAAGAGGCCCTCACCCTCCTTAGCCTAACCTATAGGGGAAAGGGGTGGGACTTATTGCTGAATTGGGTCTCCTCACTGGTGTTTAAATCTATGTCCCATTTGTCCTTTTCATTCTAGACCCATTACCCAAAGACCTCAGCTTTAAAGGGGATCTGGAAGGAATCCTACAGAGGTAGCTAAGTGTTCACGGCACTCCAATCTAGGCACAGGTCCAATCATGCCATGGGTTTAGTCCCTTCCCCATCCCAGCTTCCCCACTTGAGCCAAGGATTCCTCCTAAAACTCCTCTGCCCTTCCTCATATTCTGTTTCCCTGTCAGGACCCCAGATGAGCTGCAGGAGCTAGAAATTGCATGTAAAAAATAAGGTCTGCATTCTATAGGAAGAATAAGATTTTTAGAAAATCTAGGAAAAACAAGAAAGAGGTTCTTGATTCATCCCGAGTTTAGTTCTTTATGAATCATAGCTGGGTCCTTTCCAGAGCTTGTTTTTAATAGATACACTAGAGAAGGTGGGAGGGTGAATCTAGAAATTACTCTAGAGCAATAATATGGCTATATAGGTCCCAATTCCATCCAGGAAGAAAGGGCTGAGAGTTGTGGTCTATGTCCTAGAGCTGAGATTCAGATGGAAGTATGGCGCCATATGTGTCTAGAACACCATGCTCTAGAACTGGGTTTTTTTGAAAGTTAAACCTGTGGTGATCTGAGACTAGTACCAGTTTAGACCAAGGCCAACAGCTGGAACAGGGCTCAAATCTAGCCTCCCTCTACTTAGAAATCAAGGGTCCATCTGGGTCAAGGACAGAAGCTTGATGGATCCAGAACAGCCTGGCAGCATGCCTGCATTCCAGCACAGAGCCTTCATGAAGAAATGGCCCTGGCTGGGGTGCCTGGTATTCCAGAACCTGTTCAGAACATGGCAGAAGGTGGAGTAGGGGACAAAGAAAACTAATCCTGAGCTCCAGTGGACCTATAAATCTATGGCTCAGTGGCAATGAAGAGGGCATACGGTTCCGGGAACTGGCTGATCCCCGGGTGGGATGTATTTATGCCCTGGTTCCATCAGTTTGGAAACACCCAGCGCCATCTCAGGAAAAGGCTTTGGGGTTATGTGAGTGTGGAAGGAAAGATGTGATCAGCCAGGACCATTTTCAGACATCCCCTTTTCTGACCCCATCCCAGGCCCAGGGATCTTGCAGCCCCAGAAGTCACAGCCAGCCCCTGGGCTCCCTCAGGGTAGAGCACCTGGTAGGACTTGGCTGCTCAGGGCATGAGTGTGGCTGCAGGGGTGAGAGCAGGGGCAGGAACAGGGCTGGGAGACAGGCTATGGTGGTGGCTGGCTCAGTGCAAGTGCAGGGAGCCTCCAGTCCAGGGGGCTTTCAGGGGGCAGGGGGACTGGAAGGGGAGGTCTCAGGGACACTGTGGAGAGAAGGCTCCCGGTACATGGCCACTGTGAAGGGGAGAGAGAGGAGCAGGAAGAAGAGTTAGGCACAGAGAGACTAGGCAGAATCACAGCTCTGAAAGGGCTCCCTTCCCCTATACTCATCCTCTGGGAACCCCAACCCATACAAGGAGAGTTCCCCAAAGGCCAGAGCCTTTCTGGCTTGAACTGTCAATACAGGTGTCCTCTTAACACTTGTAGCCCCTGAACCACGTGTCACAAAATGTCCATGTCAAAATCAATACCCTCCCATGTGGCCTACCTTATCTGGAGTCCATACTCACCCTCCAGGAGCTTGGGCACAAAGTGGGCAGCTGCCTTGGTCTTCTTGACTCGATTTCCCTTCATGACTTGGCCCTCCTTGTCCAGGCCCAGGTACCAGGCCCGGCCAGAATGGCACTGGCGATAGAGGGCAGAGGCATATAGGACATAGTAATTCTCAAAGACACACTCCTTAAAGCGACACTCAGCTGTGAAATGTGGCTGAGGAGACAAAGACCCAGAAAGGCACATATAGTCAGAGAAACCAAAAGACACATTACTGGACAGAAGAGAGCCCTGGGAAGAACAAGCCAGGATGTAATCTATACATTTTGGCTAGGAGGGCCAACTTCTGAGTCCATGCAGGAACTGAAAGAAAAGGGGATGAGGAGGAGTCTGGAAGGCTCCTGGGGGTTAGGAACTAGATTTTGGCAGGCCCTAGAATAAGAAGATAACTTCTCTCCACTCTATTTCCAATTTCTCATCATCCCCTATCCTGAATGACTTGGGAAGCGAATAATAATGAAGTCTGGAGGAGGAAGGATGAGAAATGGGGCCCTAAAAGGCTGAAAGAATTGGACATTCAAAGAGTCTGGGGCATTTGGGGGCCTGTGTGAGGAGGAGGGGTGGGAATGACCCCAGAGGAGGATCTCTGCAGTGAGCAGACATGACAGGACATCAGCAAGAGCTGGAGGGAGAGGGAATCCTGAGCTGTAAAATATCTGTACTTGGGAAGATTGGAGCTGATGGGGAGGTCCCCAAACCCCAGGCCCCTCAGCCTCATGGTCTCACCGAGCTGTAGAGCAGCCCCTCAGCATTCATAGCCATGTAGTGGCCCAGCTTGGCACTCTGGATGGTGACCACACGAAGGCCCACGGGGATCAGGTTGAAGTGGGCTGGGAGTGGAGAAAAGGGGGCATCAGTACTGCAGGCCTCAAACCCTCAGCAGAGCCCCCCATTTCAGTTCCACTTCTTCCCTTGAGGCCCAAGAAGCCAGAATGAAAACAACAAAAACTGAAGTGGAAATAGGATTGTCATCTCCTATCCTCACTCTCCCCATTCCCACCCAGCAGCTGGCTTCCCCTCTCACTGAAAGAGCTGGTGTCCTCTGGGGTGCCCTGGATGCTCCCATCGGGATTCGCCTGAAGGTAGAAACCCTGGCGGCAGAACAGTTTGGTGACGATGCCTTTGAGTTGAGGCTCTGGAGAGAGAGACATTCATCTTCGAAAATGACATCTCTGTTCCCAGAAACAATCCTACACTTGACGGGATCAGAGGAAAGAAGGGAGAATGGAGGAAAGGAAGAGGGTCCCAGAGCCCTCTCCAAGCAAGCTCTCTCCCACTTCTCTTTGACTCCTGAGGAATCTGGGATGTGGGTCCTTCTGCTTTCTCTTTACTCCCAACTTTCAGATTAATTTATTGAAATCTATTTAAATGGCTTAATTCCTACTTTACAGCTCAACCAGAAAGAGAGTAGGGGAGAAAAGGGGATAGGAAGGGGTTAGATACATCAAAAGGCAAGAGGACAGAAGAAGATGGGAAGGGCTGCAGAAGTGGTAGTGGGTTTGCAAATGTGGCGGGGGTGGGGGGGTAGCAAGGTGACCACAGGATAGGGGCATAGGGGCGCCCCCTCAGGAATGGGAGTGGGACTGGGTCTGATGCTGACTCAGCACCTGCTGCTGCGGCTGCAGCTCTCTTGGCGCGGGCCTCCGCTTGACTCAGCACCGGCCTGACACTGACCCATCTGTCCGTCTGTCTGTCGTCTATCAGTCCGTTGGCTCAGCCTCTCCCCTTCAGTCAGGTAACCGGGCTAGGGTTGGGGGGGTCGTTCGGTACCAAGTCAAGGAAATGGGGGGAGGGGGAGGGAGACTAAGAGGCAGGCTGAGTCACATGGGGGCCCGGTCCCACTCAGTGGGTGGGCTGAGGACCGTACCACTATGGAGGGTCGGCGGCGGGGTGAGGCGGGCGCGAGGGGGCTACCCCTAGGGAGCTGGTAGCGGGCGGGGGCGGGGCCAGAGGGATCCTGCCTGCAGTACCTGGACGGGGACCACACGCTAACCCTCACAATGCTCCTTCCCCGTCGCTTGCTCTCGGCCGACTTCCCTCTACCTCCTTGTAGGTGGTACGACCCCCCAAGTCGCCGCGCGGGTCTACAGGCTTTACGGTGTCAAGGAGTTCCTCGCGGCAAAGGGTCCCCTAAGCATGTGAGGCCCGACTGCAGAGCCGTGTAGTGGTATAGGGGGTGCCCATCTCCCTTGCTGAAGCGCAGGTCACAGAGGGGCGGGCCGGCGAGGTTGCTGCAAGGACACCCGGGGGAGACCTGGGGAGATTGGCGCCAAACCAGGCAAGCTCGGCCAGGAGGAACCGAGCCAAGGCGTGGAGGAGCTGGAGAACCGGAGCGGGGGCGGGGCTGCCGGAGCCGCAGAAACCCTCGGGGTGACCGAAACGTTCGGAACCCCCAGGCCCCTCCGCTTGGGATTGAAAGAATCGCGAGAGCCGGCACGTAGACAGAGGACGGTGGGGGTGGGGACTCCTGTGTTGGGCGGGGGTGGGGGAAAGTTCGGGGGACGAGAAGGAGCGGCGAGGCTTCGGGGCCCCAGACTTAGCCCCTCAAGCCTTCCCTTGCTCTCGAAAGCAAGGAAACTGAGGCATACCCTTGCAGAGACTTTGTTGTCCTGGCTCACTCCCTTTCACTTGCGGAGAGCCCCCCTCAGTTGGGCCCTATTCTTCCAAATCCCTGGCCTCAGCCTCCCAGGCCTGGAGACCCCGCTCCAGCCACTCACCCGGGCCGCGGGCCGGTCGCGCGGGCCGCCCCCCGCACAGTCGCACCTTGGACAGCAGGATGAGGAGCTGCTTCTGGCAAAGGGACTTGGTGCCGCGGGGACACACGCGCCGCTGGGCCGAAACCGGCCGGCTGCCCCCGGGCTCGCGGACCTCCCTCTTCTGACGGATCAGGCTACTGGCCAGTGCCGCCATGGCGCACCGGGAGGAGACACCCCCAAACCGGCAGGCGCCCGGAGCGCGCTGGGCTCTCCACAGAAGCCCGCTCACTAGGGCATGCTCTTGACGCTGCGGTCCCGACTCACACAGGACTTGAGCATAAGCCTCAGACCCCCAACTCGGAGCCGCCAGCTCCCACCCTTGTGCCCCGAGCTAGCTCCACCAGATCCAGCAGCCAACCTACCTCTGTTGACTCCACCCTCGTTTTTTGCCCCTTACTGAAAGCTACCCTCTTTGCTCTCCAGTATCCTTGTTCCCCACTTGACCAAAGCCAATACCCTCAAAATTTCCAAGATGTGGCTCTAATCGCCCCAGGCACCTTTCCACACTATTTGGGGGCCCAGCGCTCCTGACACATCTACTCCTGTAATCTAAAGGGTGCAGGTCTTTAGCTTTGAAGATACTAGCTCACCCCACCTCTGCTGAGGCATTGCCAATGTCAGAGTGGAACCCAACTGCGGTGTCTTTGCCACCCCGTAAGTGGAAAGGATCTCCACTTTTCTTAACTGAAATCCCCAGAAACTATGTCTCAGAACATCCAGGCCGTCCCCCTTTAGTGAAAAGGGTTCCCAGACCCTGTCTCTGGACCATACCCCTTTTTTCACCAAATCACCCCAATTTATAGTGGCACACGGTTCAGCGGCTGAGGCCCTTTCCTCACCTTGTTACCCTCCACTCCTTTTGAAGTCACCTCCAAATCCACCCTAACTAGTATATATACCAGTTGGTTGTCTGGAGGGTTCTCTGTCACCTTGAAATGAGGAGCATCCAGGTGTTTTTTTTTTTTTCCCCTGGCTGCCCCTTAATTTACTTGGGGACAGCTGGTACTGTTTAGATCCCACACCCTCCTATCCAACCAGCCTCCAGGAGAGGAGTGCACCCACGTTGTCACCAATCCCCAAATGTGAACAGGCTCCCTACAAGTCAGAGCGTATCAGTTTCTGCTACAGGGCTTCCTCGTCCTCCCTGGGACTGCCCATAACACCCCCTCTTTCTTCCCCGACGCCCCTCAACCTGCCCTGTCTTGTTGATCCAGCGACGGATGGCGCTGGCTCCGGTTCCAGGCTCTTCCCTCCCTGTACCCCGCAAGCAGAGCTTTCCCCCCACGCCCGGCTAGGCGCCCCGGACCCCCAGCAAGGAGTGAGAATGTCTCTTCAGAGCGCTCTGGTCCTCCAAAGTCAGAGCATTGGGCCTAGCGGCTGAACTAAGCGTAGCGGCGGCGGCAGCGGCTGTGGGGAGCCGAGGCGGCGGCGGCGGCGACAGCAACTCCCCGTTCTCTGAGAGCCGCGCAGCGGGAGGGACAGGGGGCGGAGACGCCGGGAAGGAGGGGGTGAAACTGGGAGGGCGGAACACTAGGGTGCCTTAGAGGCAGGGAGTGGGGACTGTCGTAGAGGCAGGTGCAGCGGAGGAAAGGCCGCACATCTCAGGGTTCAGAGGAGGAGGGACAGCGAGGTGCCTCTGAACGGAACCCTGGCTGGAGGAGAGGTTGGGCTTAAGATCGATGGAATGGCTGATGCAGCAAGAATGGAGGAAGGGACCCTACTGCCCGGGAGGACAGAACTGAATGAGGAAAGTGAGGGAATATTGGAGAGGGGGGCGGCTAGCCTGGGGCGAAATCCGGCCTCCTATTAAGGAGCTCTGCTTTTGGGTGAGCCAAGCTGTCAGTGCCCGGTCTCATAACTTTCTCCTTTCCACGTTTTTGTCAGCAAATATATTCCCCCAACCCTATTGTCTCCTAAGAATAAACCTTAAAAACTGAAGGGTCTTATAAAATGGTTTCTGGAGGCTGCGCTGGGGCGGGAAGGGTAAGGGCCACAGCTTTGGAGAATGGAAAGGCCGTAATGGGACAACCTGTGAGGGTTGGGCGGGAGGAGGCCTTCTAGAAAGGGACCTTAGGGCTAAGGCGTTCAGTCGGTCTCCAAGGGAGCAGTCCCCTTATATCCCGCAAACGGAAGCACTTTCCATGAAGGTAGGAGTAGCGTCTTTAATGAGCCCCGCCTCCCACGCCGGCTAAGCCGCCCCCCTTGCGCGCAGCCTTGGCCTCTTCTACAGCCGCGCGCAAGACCCCGGCAGGGTCCCCCCGAAGCCGCGCCAATGCCCCGAGCAACGCAGCGGCGCCGTCCCCCGCACGGAGCTTTCTGCCCCCCAGAAAATAGTGGGGCAGCATCCCGGCCTCGAGCACACGACCCAGTTCATCCAGCAGCCCGAGGCAGCAGGCGCCCGCATTCTCGGTCCGCGCCAGATAGAGCGCCGGCAGACGCTCGCAAGCCCAGTAGAGCAACGTCCGCAGGAGGTAGGGCGCCGCGGTTCGTGTCCCGGCCACCAGCGGTCGCAGCAACGCCTGTGCTGCCGCGTGCGCTTGCAGCAGTGGAGCTGGTATGCGCGCCTTGAGCGCCAGCTCCTGGCGGGCGAAGCAGAGCTGCCAGCCAGAGGCGCCCGGTCGCTCTGTGCCTCCACCAGGCACCAGGTAGAAGGAGGGAGTCTCCGAGGCCAGCGGGCCGGCCCACGAATGGCTCCGAGCACCCTCGGGCCAACCGGCCACAGAAACCACAGGGACCAGGTCGAAGAGCAAGAGGCGGCGAGGGGGCCCCGGCGTAGCCAGCAGGACGGTGGTGAAGCCTGCGTGGCGAGCTGCGTGGACCAAGCGCGGGGCACTGGGGACCGGGGAAAGGGACTCAGCGACCGCGGCCAGCGAAGCAAAGAACCACGCAGCCACCTGAGCGGGGCACAATGTGGGCCATGCCCCCGAAACTTCCGAAGGCTGTGGGATTGGGCTAATGACCGCTGCTTTGGTGACGTCACCATTTTGGTTTTTCAAGGGTGCAGGAAAGCAAAGATCCGATAGGTGTTGCTGAGGCGACTCGGGCCCGTAAACGTTACTAGGTTGTTCCTCCAAAGACACGTGCAGCCCAGGCTCAGTGCCGTAACCATGCAGCTGGCCCACAGACCTTTGTCGGTCCTTGGGACATCCTTCACTTTCTGTTGGGTGGATCGAATCACGTCTTCGTGAGACTGGAGGTCCTAGGCAATCCTGCCATGCCTCTCGGACCGAGGTTCCGCGTATCCGCTCTGGGAGGCAGAGCCACGCAGAACAGGATTCCACGTCCAGCTGCAGCTCCTGACCAGTGCTGTCTACCGAAACCACCGGCACCAGGAGTGTGAAGCCGGCGTCGTAGTGAGGTCCGCGAGCGTAGGGCCCTAGGGGAGCAGGCCCCAGATCCAGAGAGCCCTCGCGAATCCCGCCACGAAGCAGCAGAAGTTCCGCCTGGGGAGGAAAGCGGGGGTCCCGGCGGTGAACAAGACCTAAGGGAAGAGAGGGATAGTGTGGGCGCTACCCAAAGCCGGGAAGGGGATGGGGCGGAGTTCAGAGCTGCGAGCTCCCGAAGGCAGGGAGGGTTACTTACCAAGCAAGGAAAAGACAAAGTCCTTGGCCTGGAGGAGGTCTGGTCCCGACTTGGACCCGTCAGTCCAGCTCTCCTGCACGCCCAGCTCCTCGATCAGCTGGGTTAGTTCCTGCAACTGCGCCCCGGAGCAGAAGTCGATGTCCGTGAGCGGCCGGGCTGGCGCTGGGGGCGGCGGGCCCCACCAGGGAGCACTTCCCCAGACCGCGGAAGCCATGCGGTTCTATCGTTTTGGGACAGGGAAAACACGGACGAGAGAAAGAATGGGCTGTTCTTTGCTTCCGAAAAGTCGCTCCTATTCTCTCTTCCAGAGGCCGAGATGAATACCGTAGACACTGTCCGTCAATGGGTCTGCATATGAAGGGCTCTAAATTTAGTCTTGAAAACGAACAAATAAATACCTCTTCTGTCCTTGCCCTTTTCTCACATGTTGGTCCCCTCCCCCATGGACCTTGTTCACCTGACTCAGCAGGTAAAAGGTAGCTGTCTGGCCCCTTGTATGGAATGCAATTGCTAGTGTCCTCCGCCATCCCTTGTATACCTCCCCTTACCTCTTTATCGGAAGAAGTTTATGATCAGTGGCTTCCCGATTACGAGGAGCTGCAGAGTTGGGAAAAGGATGCAGAGAACGAGTCAACAGGTAACTTCTTCCGGCTGCCCACAAGGCCACGCCCCTAAGTTACGACTACGCCCCCTTCTGGATAGCTGTCCGGGTGGTTCCGGGCCGGCCCCGCCCCCAGTCAGAGTTCAGTCACTTTTTTTGCTCAGCTGAGATCTCGCTCTATCCTGGGAGTTGTAGTCTACCGAACTATCAGGGTGGGGGGACCACGCCCCCAATCCTTTTCTGGTCTGCTGAAGTAGTGCCTGATGGAAGTTGTAGTTTCTATGGAGATGAACTGTTCTGTGTCTTTCCAAGCCCAGGTCAATCCCACACAAACATTTATTAGCCCTAATGCGGAGGGGGTAATAGGATGATCTGAATAGCAAACAATAATGGGGACACACCCTAGGGCCTGAGGAAAAATAGGGGTCTCTACATCCCAGTGTGAGTAGAGAAGCCCTGGTCACTTAGATCTAGGAGGGTTCTTCCATGCAGTTATCACTTGGTTTTGGAGATGAGACTGCAGTTTGGAAAGGTTACACATGACTTGTCCAAGGTCAGAGCAGAGCTAGAGAGGGGACTTCCAAGCTGCATGGGGCGTTTTCTCCTTGGAATCAGTGGTAGTAGTGTTAGGTAAGAACACATAGGTGGTGGCCCAGGAATGAACATTTGACTCCAACCCAGGGAAGATATATATATATATTTTAGTGATGCCCACCTCAGACACATGAGTGGTGGCAGGGAAAACACTTTGGATCCTCAAAGCTCATGTGTGTACACAGAAGGATTATCAGGACCAAAAATGAAGTCCAGAGGAAACTCCCAGCTGGGCTGGGGCAAGGCAATGGACAATTGTCAGGGAAAGGAAAGTGCTTTCAGTTACCAATGCTATCAGGAACACAGTTCAAGTCCAGGATGAGACCAGGAGCCAGAATAATAGGACAGAAAAATAGGAAATCAGATCAGTCCAATCCATTGCTGAACCAGGACTTCTTACATCTCTTTTTCCCCTGGGAATGTCTTCCAAGTGAGACAGTCCATGGGCAAGAGAATTAAGCAGAGACAACGTAGAAAAATTAGAGGCCTGTAAAGGAGGGAATGCTCAGAATCCAGAGCTCAATTTGGGGAGCCCAGATTCCAGTGACAAGATCTCTGGAGAGCTCTTCTCCCTCAGCAACCAAGAACCACAACACACAGCAGGTTTCCATATATCTGGATGTGACCAAAGAAGCCAGATCAGGAAAACTGAAGACTGAGCCCTTTGTCAATCTCAGGTAATCAAGCGCTGGACATCCCTATGTCTTACCTCCTCCCCAAAGGGTGGCTAGCCTCTGAGCCACCCTAAAAAGAACTAAGTTTTCTAGACTCTGTGGGAGCTTTGAAGATGCTGGAGATAAGGGACAAGGGAAAGGAAAGTTCCTCTAAACTCTAAACCATTGCTGTCCAGAAAGATTTTCTGTAATATTATAAATCTGTGCTGTGCAATATAGTAGCTTCCCATGGCTATTGAACACTTGAAATGTAGAAATGAGACTTTATATTAATTTACATTCTAAAAGCCATAGTTGACTGCTGGCTATTGTACTGAACAGTGCATCTCTAGGGCTTTGAGGATAGTGGGTTCAGCTATGCAACTAGAGAGGAGAAGCAGAGGCAGTGTTAGTGTTTGTCAGGCCCCGTGGGTAGCCAGTGTCAGGAATGGGGCTGGGATGGAGTCCTCAGACAACTACAGATCACTTCTCTCTCCTCTTTATTCCTGGTGCACCTTTGCTCCCTCTTTTCCCAAGGTCCTCATCACACACTGATATCCCCACTCCTTGGTCTCTGGTTAGTTGCTGCATGCCTCTTGGCAAAGGCGCCTGGGAGACAGAGCTTCACACTTGTCCTTGCCCACTCCAAACTGTCTCTTGTGGGCATCAAAGACCACATGCCCTAGGTGGGAGCCTGGCACAAGACAGTAGGGCTTCCAGTTGATTTTGGGAGGCATAGGCATCTGGCAATAGTTCTGGCAGGCTGGAGAAACTGAATCCCCAGGATGGTACACCCAATCTTGGCTGCCTGCTCGCCGGGAGGATGGCTGCAGCTCAATCAGTACAGGTACTTCTGAGGAGGTTTGCAGGACATTACAGATCACTTGGGACTTGGAGGAGCAGTTCTGACTGAGTGAGACAGAAGTGGATGGTACATGCTGTTCTGCATCCTTCTTCTGAGGAGAGTCCTCAGGTACAAATGATTTTATCAAGGATTGTGTTGACTTTTGGGTCTGATGTGGGTCCAAGATTTGGACAGAGTCAGTACCTGTAGCAAGGCTGGGGTTCTTGTGGAGGTCAGGATTTGGGATAAAGCATGATGCCTTGTGGAGGCATGATTCCTTGGTAAGACCTCGACTCTTGGAGAGGCAAGAGCCTTGAGTAAGGGCTGGGCCATTATGGGGGGCAGGGTCTTGATTAATTCCTAGGTACTTGTGGAAGTTTGGGTCTTGGATTTTGTCTGAGCTCCTGCAAATTCCAACATCTTGGGTAAGGCCATAACTCCTTTCGACTTCAGTGGCTTGGGTAAGGCCTGGATTCTTACGGAGGTCAGAATCTTGAGTGAGGCCTAGGCTCCTGTAGACTCCAGAATCTTGAGTAAGGTCTAGATTCTTATAGTCTCCTGAGTCTTGGGTGAGGCTGGAACCCTTATGGAGGCCAGAGGTTTGGACAAGGCCTGGGCTCTTATTGACTCCAGAGTTATGAATAGGGTATGGGCTCTTCTGTGGGTCAGAATCTTGGGTAAGGCCTAGACACCTAGAGACTCCCAGATCTTGGACTTTACCTGCACTCTTGTAACCTCCAACATCTTGAAAAGGGCCCAGGCTGTTATGGAGGCCAGTTATTTGGGCAAGTTCTTGACTTTTGTTGGGTATAGTCTCTTGGTTTTGTTCTACATTCCTATAGACTCCAGAATCTTCCATAAAGCCTGAGCGTCTCTGAATGTCAGAAATGTGGGGCAGTGGTTTGTTCTTCTGGAGGCCAGAGGGTTGGGTGAGACATGAGCTCCTAAAGATACCTGCATCTTGAGTAGGACCTAGGCTCTTTTGGGGGCCAGAATCTTGGGTAATGACTGGATTCTTATGAAAATCAGAGTCTTGGGAAGGGCTTGGGTTTTTTAAGAAATAAAGGTCTTGAGCAAGGCTGGGATTCTTGTAGAGACATGGATTTTGGGTAAAGCCTGGGTTCCTGAGAACTTTAGAGTCTTTTGAAGAGCCTGGGGTCCTTTGGAGGCCAGAGTCTTGGTTGAGGCCTAGATTCTCGTGAAGTTCAGGGGATTGGGTTTGGATTGGGGGTTGGGAAATGGTGGAGAACTGGGAAAGGATGGGCAACTGGGAAGAAGGGACAGACTGAAAAGACATAGAGGTTGGAGGGAAAGTGGGGGACTTGTGGTGGTTGGTGGGTTGCTGAAGGACAAAGGACCTGGGAGAAACAAGAGGCAGCGAAAGAGTGCATGGTGGAGGAACAGTACACAGTGAGCTCCGGGTACTGGTTGGAGAATGAAAGCAAGGTTGAGAAGGTATAGCATCTTTGGAGTAGACCAAGAACTTGGGGTAGGCTGGAGTCTGGGAGTCTGTGTTTCTTCTCTCAGGACTGCAGGGATGGAAGCTACAGAAAGTCTTGGGCTGTAAAAACTTGTCTTTGGCATCACTGCAGATCTTCCATTGAATATTCCCCAACTCCAGGTAATCCAGTATGGATCCTGTGGAGGGCCTGGCACTATTCCCACTATGTTGCTTCAATATTTGCTCAGCTGTACCAGAGTTTACCAGGCCCTGCCCCTCTTGGGGCCTGGGGAGGGTGCCATCCTTTCTGGAATATACAGAGTTCAGTGGGAGATGCACATGGAACAACTTCTGCTTTCTCCCATGGACATCATAGACCACGTGGCCAGTGGAGAGCCCTTGGCTGAAGGCAGTCAGGGTAGAGGGAATAGAAGTTAGGATGGAGGGATGGGTGATGGCAGAGACAGGAACAGGGACTGGAGTGGTATTTAGGGCTGTGACCAGTGCTCGGTCAGGGGTTGGGGCAGAAATTGAGACTGGGGCTGAGGCAGACATTGGGGGAGGGGCTGTGGCAGAGGTGGGGGCAGGGGCCAGTTTGTGGGCACAGGTATAAGTGACACAAGCATGTGCTACAGTGCAGGCTGGAGCATGGGCTGTTATGTGTTCAGGGGGGTGGCCCAGGGGGTTGGCAGAGGCATGTGAGGGGGCCTGGGTGAGGGTGTGGGCTGGGGTGTGCTCAGGGCCATGGACCTGGGTGGGGCAGTGCGCAGGAGTGAGGGCTGGCGAGTAGGTCTTGGCCTGGGTAGAGATGTGCTCAGGAGTGGGGGCTTGGAAGTGGATCTGGCCCTGTGGGTGGGTGCGCTCAAGGCAGTGGATAGGGGAGCAGGTCTGGGCCTGAGGTGGGGTATGCTCAGGGGAATGGACTAGGGAGCGGGTCTGCACCTGGTGGGGGCTGTGCTCAGGGGGATGCACTGGGGAGGGGGTCTGCACCTTGTGGGGGCTGTGCTCAGGGGGACGAACTGGGGAGGGAGGCTGGGCCTGGGCTGGGGCCTGGGCTGGATCATAGTCTGCGGTCTTAGTCTTGCTCTCTTGGGGCAAGCAGAGTGGAACCTTGTCCAGCTTGCTCATCCTGGGGAGCTCAGAAGATGTCTTTTGCCTGGAGAGAAAGGTGGCTTGGGCCTCGAAGGGTGTGGCCTGAGGAGCACCCCCAGCTCCCACCATCCCCTCCTTCCGTAGTCCCCATGGAGCCTCCACAGGAGCCCTGGTGTGTCTACACTGAGGCAGCATACAGCAGCACCTTGAAGCCTTCTCGTCATTCATGTCTGGTATCCTGGAGTCAAGGTGGTTACGCTGCTCGAGCAGGAAGCTTGGGCGATGATGGAAGCAGGAAGAGACTCTTGAGCACAGGTTCTTGGGATCCGCAGAGCAGCACATACACATGGAATGGCTGCCTAAACGGCTGGGCTGCTTGCCTGCAGGGAAAGGTGGGATGGGACAAGACCTGGGCTCCTGAGGGGCTAAAAATGGGGACAGGGATCAGAGAAGGGAGACAGGCCCACATCCCCTTGAGCCCACGCTGAAGCCCACTCACCTTTGGGGAAAAAATGATGGAAAAGAATCCTCAGGGAGCTCTTCAGATGCCTCCAGAGCTGAGGGAAGTAGGGGAGGGGAGAGTCCGGAAACAGGGTGAACCCTGAAGCCCAACACTTGTCTGGCCACATCCCAACAGCCCTCCCTTCTCAGCCCCTTGGAGACCCCAGGACTCCTACAACCCTGCTACCCAGACCCCACTCTGACCAGAGTCACCACATTGATCCCCACATTCAGCAAGATGAAGCTTCCCAGAATCAGAAGAATTGAGTCTCCTAGCTCCTGGCACTTTCTGGGGTTGGTGCCAGAGCACACTTGGGCTCCATGGTGGGCTCGCCCATCCATGACTGGGGTCCCAGGACTGCCTGGGACCCTCCTGGGACCCCTGGCCCCCACATACTCACTAGAAGCCAGATTCCTCTGGTGGGGGAGGGGAAGAGGGACTAGGTCATAATGCAGCAGGTGTTTGGGGTCACAGTGAGGGAGGGGAGGAAAGGAGGGCCCAGGGTAACATTCCCTGGTGGCAGGGTTTGTGTGGCCCGAGCCTGGACAGTCAAACAGGGCCTGGAGCCTGAACATCTCCTCTCTTGCCATTGTTCATTCCTTCACTGTCCACTGCCTCACTCATTCACTCACTCACTCCATCCCCTTGACCCCTCCTGAAACTGGGAAGACCTTGGCCTCAGAGCCCTGGGGAAAGCACGGCTGGAATCCAGAGTCTTGGCCTTCTTACTGTCCTCTGGGCCACAGACCCTGATCTTCCCATATGTGGAACCCCAGGTCTGGAATCTGACCTCAGCTTCTTGTGTGAGGCTGAGCCTCCAAGCCTCCTTTCGGGATAGGGAGAGCAGAGTCACAGAGTAGGTGCTCAGAGACCAGTGGTTTGTAGTCTGCAGCTGCAAGATCTACTTCGTGCATGGTGCAGGACCAGGAGGGGCCGGCAGGAAGGATGGTGGCCACTTGGCAAAGGGGAGCGTCATGTCCAGAAGGGGACCCTGGCTTCTCATTTCTGGAAGCCACGGGCAGGAACCCAGGCTGGTAGAAGGAGTGGTGCTTCCAAGTCACAGACCACTACAGCATTTCCTGGACTCTGTTGCTCTTTATTCCTCTCTCCAGGCCCCTCCCCACCACCCACCCACATTCACCGCTGGTCAGTTAAGTTTCCCTGTTCAGCTCCTATACAGAGAGGGCCTCGAGACTGAGGTGGAAGGTGGTGGCAGTGAGCTGGCCCGAGCTCTGCTTTCCTGCACTTGCCACTTCAGCTCCAGACTGTCATACACCAGGCAGCTGGCATTGCCCACGAGGTTCCGGCTGAGTGGCATGAAGGTAAATGGGGGTGGGGGGAGCTCAGTAGCCTGGACGTCAGGGAGGGGCTGGGAGGACAGGGGGCACAGGGATGAACTGGGAGGCACAGCCTGATGGTATGAGGCCTTGCCCAACTCAGTGAAGGAGGTGGATGTGGTCAGAAGGTGCCGAGCCAGCAGCATCTCAGCCCATTCAGCTGCTCACTGCCTTACCTCACAAGGATCCCGGCAGCTATAGCCCAGGTATCAGGGAGGGGTGGGGGCTGCGGTTGGGCTAGCTATAAGCATGGGCAGGGCTGCTCCGCCAGTGGGACTGTGGGGAGGAGGGCTCCCGAGCCTCAGGACGGGAGTCCCGGGGCACCAGGGCAGATGGAGGCTCAGAACCCCCTAGACCATGCCGCTGATCCCAGGAGTCATACAGGAGATGACCCCCTGAGGGGTAAGGGCTATGCCTCCCAGGGACCCAGGAAGGATTGGGGGTAGCTGGCGGGGAGGTAGTGGTGATGGGGTCCATTCTCAGTCTCCAGATTGCCCCAGATGTGGGACTGAGCAGTGGTGCCTGCAAGCCTGAAGCCTCAGCTCCGACTTGGCCTCCACACGCTTGGGCACACCGCACGGCTCAGGTGACAGGTAGAGAGAGGGTGGTGGCAAGCTGGCCAGGATGCCACCCTGGTGGGCCCACAGTCCCATGCTGGAGGGCCGGCCCGTTTGCTGGTAGAGCTCTCCCCAGCCTCGCCATGGGTACTTGGAATGTGGGAAGGACAGGTCATCTCCCTCCTCCAGCTAGGAGTTCAGGTCCTCCTGATCAAAGGAGGGCATCAACGGCAGCTGTGACTTCTTGTGACTGCAGTGTTGGCTGTGGAAGACTGAGCGGTTGTGGGGGAATTGTCTGTGGTTCTTTGGCCTCTGCTGGGCGCAGCAGGGGTGGTGACATTGTCTTAGGAGGTGGCGGAGGCAATGACCACTGCGGAGATGGTGGTTGGAGGAAAAGGAGTAGCAAATGGGCTGGGCTATCTCCACTTCTACAGGGTCCAGGGGGCAGTGGATGTGGACATCTTGGACCTTGGCTGAGGAGGGATCTTTGGAGAAACTGTCACAAACCTGCAAGATTTCATCTGGGGGAGGCAAGAGTCCATGAGGGCAGGGCAATTGTCAGGAGAGGTCAGGTCTGGGAACACTGGGGCTTGGGTTTCTAGGGCCGCAGTGGTGGCAGGGATGGGGGTCTCCTACCTCTCTAGCTGCCATACTTACTTTCCTGGTTAATCCAATAGTTCGTCTTGTCTAAGGCATTCTGGAGCCCATGTCACATCTGCGGGTGGGGTGGGAGTGAAGGCCAGGCTCTCACCCCCCCTCCCAGCCAGGACTGCTCCTGCTCCCACCCTCAGCCCTCTTCACCCATAGGGGTGTTCCACAATCCTCACTGACCACAGTTGCCACGTTTATCCCAATGTTGACAAGAACCATAAGGCCCAGCAGTAGGAGTAGGAAGTCCTCAGCATCCAGGGGATTTTCTTGGTACTGATTGCAGCACCCCAGGTTATCATACCAGAGCTGGTTTTCCATGGTTGGGGGGTGTTCCTAGTCCACCTGGGCCGCCCCCCCACCAACCGGCCCCGAGCCACACTGCACTCATACTAGGACCTAGGGACACCTATTACCTGGTGGGGAAAAACCAGGTCATAATGAGGCATGTTGGGGGAAGTCACAATGCAGAGGTGGCAGCTCTTGTATTCACTCTGCTGGCCCTTTCTATGGCCATCTCTACCCTTGACTACCACCTGATGGAGTCCAGTCCCCAGATATCCAGAGTTCAGTCTGTCCCTCTGTTTCTGTGGGAGCTTGCTTACCTCAACATCTGATTCCCGATTTGAAAATATGGTAGCTTCAGTTGTGAGACTGTCTTCACAGGGATTGAAATATGCATAAAGGACTTCCTCTCTCACTGTTCTTCTGAGGCATTATGACAGCTTATATATCCTGTTGGTACTCCCCGCGCATGCTAACTTGGGGCCTGGAGCTAGAGCGACTGGATGGATGGATGACAGCCAGAGGGCCCTCTGGGGTCGCCCCACTGCACCATTTCCTCCCCGTCCTGCCCATTTCCCTGACATTGTCTCTCTAGCACTTACCCTACTCACCCCTTCCTGGTCAAAGATTGCAGCCCAGGGTGTTTGTGGTCACTGAGCCCACTGGCTCAGAGCAAAGGCTCTCAGCAAAGGCTTCACGGCAAGACTGATTTCCACATTGCTCGGATTGCTACCTGTGTCAGGGACCACCCTCAACCATGGTTTCTCTCCTTCCTAACCAACTGCCTTCCCACTGAGCCACCCTTCCACATTGAAAAATCGTTTCCTGTCACCTTAAGAAAACCACATGGAATTCACAAAGCACAACGTAGATGTAATTGTTAGTATGACAAAAGAAGTCTTCAGTTTAAGCCAGGTTCATCACTAGGGTCTGTGAAAGTGCTACCCTATCTTACTACACTGATGGATAGTGATTTCAATGGGGTACAGGGGGGACTTGATGATATGGGTGAATGTAGTAACCACATTGTTTTTCATGTGAAACCTTCGTAAGAGTGTATATCAATGATACCTTAATAAAAAAAGAAAACGTGCCGCCCTGGGACCTTAAGCCATTTGTTTGCATAATGAACTCCTCAGCAGAAAGAGAGGAACAGTCGTGGGCATTTCCCATCAAGCCTGCAAACACAGAGTAGGTGCTCAGTGCATACCCACTGAATGGAATCAGCTTAAAAAGATCAATAGCATTAGTTGAATGAGAACACAGACGCAGGGTGATCCACAAACAGCCTTTCTGCTCACCTTCTAGGAACCTGTCTGGTACAGGTGAGGTCTGACTCCTTCAGCTTGGGGGCACTCAGATGGCTCCTTGTTCCAAAGTTGTGTGGATGTGCACACGTGTACAAGTGTGCGTGCATGTGTATGATCCCAACAACCTAGAGTGGGGTAGGGCCTGGGCTTCTCTGTTTTGTGGATGAAATTTCTGATGAGTTCACATGGCAAAATGAGAAGATGAGAGAATCTGATTGGCTGGGCTGACTAGTGGCAATGGGAATCTACCTGTGGGAGCAGGGGGATGGAGCATTTGAGACTATAAAGTAGATCCTTGGTGTCCATGTGACCCTGAGTAAATCACTTGGCCTCACTGAGCCTCAGTCTCATTTGTGACATGGAGGAGGTGCTAATCAGAGGAGTGAGGTCACCGAGGGCTGTGATGTTATGATGAGGCAGCCCTTGAAAGTGTGCCTAATATTTCTTCATCTGCTCCAAGCCTGCTCAAGCGAGCTTCAGGTTCTGCCTGGGGAACTATGAGGGCCTGGTACACTCACTCTCAGTCATCCCGCACCAAGGGAACCAAGGCTTAAGAGGAACCAGGCCTCACCTGTGGCTGCAACTGAAACCTGGCCTCTGCAGGAATGAGACCTCTGAGGGGCTAGGGCTATGGGGATTTGGGTCTCCCTTCTAATATAGGACTGCCTGGGGATCTGGGGTGGGATATGGGGGGCTTCTCTGGGCACTAAGGAAACAGGGCAGATGCCAGTGGGAGTCTTGGAACCAAGAAGAGCCTGGGAAAGGGCTGAGGACAGGACCTGGTGAGGCCAGGAGATTAATGAGGGTCCACAAGGGCTCTCTAGGCCTTGTTGCCAGGGAGATCATTCCCTTAGTAACCTGGGCTTCTGGGTATGTGTGGGCCCTGGCACCCCCCACACCACCACAAACTACCTCTTCTCTTCTTTTTATTCTCCCAGTCACCATTCTGGCCGAGAACGGTGCCCCCAGTCCTTGCCCATCCCCTCGGCAGTGCTGGATCTGAAGGACAGGGGGTAACAGTAGGACAGGGCCTCCACCTCCCGGGGCCAGCTCCCGAAGCCGCCACCTCACGTCTTGGGCATCATAGGCTGTGCGGCCTGAGGAGCAGTGCCAGGGGATGTCCAGGACATTTGTAGGGCCCCAGATGGGTGTTGGAGCTGGTGGGGCTGGTGAGCACTGCTCTTGCTTAGCCTCAGCCCCTGTGTCCCCAGCACTGTTCCTGTGGCTCAGGACCTGAGGGCTCGGGGACGGAGGGTTCACTGGGTCCACATAGGCCTCTAGGCCCAGCTCGGACCTCATCTTTCCTTTGAGGGGGCTTCCCTCTGCAGTCTGCTGGAAGCGGATGGTCCGAGGAGATGGCTGTGTGGTGTCTGTGGCCAAAGGAGCCCAGAACTCCTGAGCAGAGAGGGAGGGCAGAGACATGGCGGGGAGAGGAGAGACACAGGAAGCCTTCCCGGGCTGCAGGGTGACCCCAGTTGTGGGAGCATACTGCTGGGTGATGGTGTGGGGGCTTCTCATTGTCAGTGTCAGGGGTCCAGCATGTTGGGTGGAGGGCAGGGTATGCTGAAGAGCCTCGATGGCAGTGGTGGTGCCTGGGCAGGGGGGTCACCATCATTTTCACAGGGTCCATGGTGCATTGAAGGTAGGAGAGTTTTGCTTTGGGGGCTGCTTTCCGGGCAAGGACGACCGAGAAACTTCTATGGATCAGGGGGAGGTGAGAGGCCAGTGGAGAGGCTGGCTCCTACAGGGACGTAGAGGCAGGGTGCAGGGAAAGAAGCTGCATAGATTTATGGTGTCTGAGAGGAGAAGGAGCCAGCTGAGGGCCAAGGTTAGAATGACTGGTTTCTGCCCCCTCCTATGGCCCAACCCTCAGCCCCCACTTACCTTTTTCACAAACAATACAGAACACTCGGTGTAAGAAGCCACAGAGTTTGTGCCAGAGCTAAGTGGGAGAGGACACAGTGATGCCATGCAGGCTCTGGCCACCAGGTCTGCCCCCACCATCCTGTCAGCACCCTCCCACCTGACCCCACCCTCACCAGCATCACCATATTGATGCCAATGTTAATGCAGATGATAAGACCCAGCAGCAGCAGGATGGAGTTGCCCAGGTCCTAGCAGTTGTTGGTGTTGGAGTTGTGATACAAGGCCCAACCAGGTCGTGGCGGCTCAGCCATGGCCATGGGGGTTCCTAGGGCCACCAGGGCCCCTAGGCCCCCAGCCCACTGTGCCCACAGTACCCACTGGCCCGCCTGCCTGTCCTAGAGGTTCCTGGAGGTAAGCGGGTCACAGTGATGCTGTGCCAAGAGAAAAAGCCACAGTGATGCTGTGCCAAGAGAAAGAATCCTGGGCCCATATTGACCCTCCAGCCTGGGCCTAGGCCTTGGCAGAGGCCAAACGCTTCGGCTTGCATGTCTGTGCTGTATTCACCCACCTGGATCTGCCCATAGGCCCTCTGGATCATCTGTTGTCTGTCCCTATCAGCCCCTGCCTGGTCTTTCTCTACACCAGGCTCTGACCTCTGCATGGACTGAGTCCTGATCTCAACTCCCCAAACAACCCTGTTACCATGGCAACCTTACCCAGGTGATGGGTTTCCCCTTTCCTCTCAGACCTCAGAGCTGTTTACTGGAAAGGGCCATGGGCTTAGACCCCTCTTCCTCCCTCATCTGCAGACTCACCCCCACCAAGGTTTGCTTCTTCAGACCCCTGGCCCCACTTCCTAACATCACATCAGGCACAACCAACAGTTAAACTTTTATATTTACAATATTCTCTTCATCTTTTGCCAGGTTTAAAAATGTGTACAGAGCCGCAAAGGGTTGGGGTGGGGACATGGGATTGTCAGGGAGTTGTTCTGAGGACAGGGGCTGGGCATTGGAGTCCGTGGCTGAATCATGGGGTCCCCCAGCCCCCCTCCCATGCCCCAATTCAGGGGGCATCTGCCCACAGGTTTTAGGGCTCAGGTCCCTAGCATTTAAAGGACATGGCTGTTTGGAGAAGAGCTAGACCAGGCAGGGGAAGGTGGCAGAAAAGAACTAAGTTTCCATGAGTGGAGATGGGAGAAGGGACAGTGAGGCGGCAAAGTTCTGGGAAGCCAAGACCAGGGATTCTGGATTTGGGTGTCAGTGGAAGACAACACCCCACCCCCTACTAAGCTTGACACTAACAAACCCACAAAATGCCAGCAGATGAAGATTCTCTCCTTCGCCAATGGTGTCCCTTAAAATCCTTCCTGACATCATTTTTTTCCCCAGAGGCCCAAACCCTTTCTCCTCAGGTGGGTGCTCTCCAGGCACCTCATACAAGTCCTTTCAAACTCTTCCTGCTGGAGTCCGCTCCAGCCCTGACCCCCACTGCCCCCTCCATCTCTTCCTCTGCACAGCTAACCTCATTCTCTCCCTGGCCTGTCCGTGAAACCTTTCTCCCCTGCTCTCCCCCTCCCCCACCCCCTCCATTCCCTCAGCCCCGGGTCCCATGGAAGACGGGGGTGGGCAGCTGAGGGAGCAGCTGGTCTGACACTGAGACAGGAAGGCTTCAAAGTGGGAGACAGAGATGGAGGAATGTGATTCTGAGGCAGAGAGGGAGGGCAGAGACATGGCGGGGAGAGGAGAGACACAGGCAGGACCCCTTTGGCTCCCACTTGACTTCTACTCTGTCCCACCTGCCCCCAAGTTTATCTGCCCTGGCCTGGGACTTGGGAATCCTTGGCACATTTTGGGGGTCTTCCTCTCAAACCCACCTACCCAGTTTGGCACAGATGAGCAATGGTCTGAGGACTGAGGGAAAGGCTGCCCTCAGAGCCCAATGAGGACTTTGGTCAAAAACATGCATGGCCTCTGTGGGTGGCAGGTGTCACCTCCCTACCAAACTCAGCAGCTCTGGGGGAGGGAGGGGCAGAGCTCTCCTTCCCACTATTTGTACAGCCTCCTCAGCTTTTGCTGACTGGAAGTCTGTTCCCACCTGCTGTGTGCAGAGGAATTAAGTGCTGGGCCTGAGGCCTGGGGGATGAAGGGAAGAGGCTGGAGAGAAAAGGACCCTCTGCATGGGAAAACACACATCCACATGCAAGAACATGTTTCCACTCAGAGAAATGTGTCCTGGACCCATGGGAAAACAAATTCCCAGGCAGCACAGGGATGCACGGATCTCCTCCCATCCCCCAGGCAGGGAATCTGTATCAGTCATCTGTGGAAGGCAAGGCCTACCCAGGAGAACATGCTTCATCTGACTTGTGCCATGGGGGACAAACATGCTTTGCTGGAGCATAGGAGGGTGTGGGGCAGGGCTGAGGGTGCTGTGATTTCCTTGCCCACTTCCCAGGCACCACCCTGTGTTTTCTGGTGGGCAAGGGTCACTGTGCATGAACATACCACTTCCAGGGTCTCCAAGAGGTGGGGAGGGGAGGAGGTGGGAGAAGGCATGAGGGAACAGGATTCTGGGGTACAAATCCCCGCAGAAATTCTTTGAGGGGGCCAACATGTGTCCAGGGCGGCAAAAAAAAACCTCACCCTGCACATGGGAAAACACACCCCCTCATGAGAAAGCACACCTCCACGTGGGAAAATACTTCCACGTTTCTGCACACTGAAGACTGGTGTCCCAATGGAGGAAAAAAAACACCCCCAGTTGTTCGAAGGCCCAGGTCCGGAGAAGAGAATGGGCTTCTCCATGTGGGAAAAGCACACATCCTGGTGAGGAAACCTGTGTCCACCTAACGCTCCTTGATGTGTGACAGCTCCACGCGAGAAAAGCCTGCTGCCAAGTCCTCCTCCCTCCCTTCAAGTGGCACTTCCCACCGGACTTGCCGGGAGGGCTGGGGAGGAGGGCCTCCCCAGGCCGCCCCCTATACCCGAGTAGTGGAGTGGGGGTGCGGTAGCGTGTTGTTGTGGCTGGGAGCAGTGGCAGGAGGTGGGGGAAAGGGCCCAAAGGGATGGAGGGACGGGGGTGGTGGTGGTGGTGGAGGCCCCAGGCCACTGGGCAGCAGGGTCAGGGCCCCAGGGGCCAAGAGAGGCACATCGTCCGGTGCCCGGCGCAGGGCCAGGGTGTAGTCGGGTGGGCAGGCGGGGCGCAGGGCCTCAGCAGGGTCTGCCCCCACGCCACCGCCCCGCTTCAGCTGCAGTGATACCAGCTCCTCCTCTGGGGGCAGCTCACGGCCCGCAGTGGGAAGCAGAGGGCCTCCACCAGGCACACCAGAGCCTGAGCCGCCGGGTGGGCTGAGCCGCCTGCACCGCAGCTCCTGCCGCCGGTCCCGCTTATAGTAGAGGGCAGCAAAGGCGAGGATGTTGAGGAAGAGGAGGGAGGCGCCCACGGCCACAGTGACACTTAGCTCCGTGGAGTAGTCCCGTGAGTCCCCGGGGAAGCGGTCGTAGGCCCTGGGGCCTGGCTCGGGCTCGGGCTCAGGTGGCAGGGTGGCGGGCGGTGGGGGCCGGCGTGTGCCTGGGGCGCCAGGGGGTGGGCGAGGCGGCCAGCGCGTGGCGTAGGGAGGCAGGCGCGTGGTGGTGGTGAAGAGCTCTGTGTGCAGGTTGTGCAGGTGGGGCACGAGCTCCAGCCAGAAGGCCACCTTGTTGGCGCGGTAGTTGTCACGCACACGAGGCTTCAGGCCAATGTGCAGGTACTGCTTCTCTTTGCTGTTGAACTTGCTCCATACCACCTCCTCAAAGCGGTTGGGCTTGGTGTGGATGAACTTGGTGTCCTGCGGCACCGGCTGGTTGGGGTCGCTGTGGGCACAGGAGGGCAAGGAAAGGAGTGAGGGTGAGGCTCCGATGGGGGCTGGGTGTGTGTGGGAGGAATGGGGAGGAAGACAGATGTACAGAGCCAGGGAAACAGAAAGAAAGAAAAAAAGAGAGGCAGATAGAGAGAGATGGAGACAAGGGGACAGAGAAACTGTCAGAGACAAATAAGGATGGAGATGGACTACCAGAGACAGGCAGAGATCAGGATAGAGGAGGAGAGACAGGCAGAGACAGGAAAAGAGATAGCCAGTGAGAGAGGCAGAAGCTGAGATTAAGTGAGATAGAGACATACAGAAACAGAGAGACAGAGACACATGAGAGACAGCCAGGGTGAAAGCCGAAAGTAAACAGATCAAAGACAGCAGAGAGAAAGGGAAAGGTACTAGCGGATTTCAAGAGAGAAATGTAGAGACAGAAATAAAGAAACAAACACAAACCCTTACATATACTCAGATTGTACACAGAGTGGAGCAGAAAGAGGGCAAAGCACTGGGAGAAAGAGAGAAGGTGGGTTGGCAAGAGACTGAAGGAGAGACAGACATGGAGGCAAAGTTAGCAAGGGAGCCTACCCCGAGAAAGGACAAGCTTTTCCATCTAACTGCTCCATCTCCAGCATGCAACTCAGTGCTTGCACTGAGAAATTGTCCAGCAAGCGTCTGAGTCGAGAAGGCAGGAGTACCTTACCAGAGGACTGATGGCGTGTAGGGAGTAAGGGAGAGCAGGAGCAGGGGATGGAGGGTATGTATGCCTTGGCTTGTAGGGGCGCCCCACTCAGCCCCTCTGGCCCTCACCCAGTCTTGGCGAAGTTGGTCCAGTAGGTCATGACCACGGCGCTGAGCATGACATCATTCTTGGAGAAGTTGCAGGGGAAGAGGTCGGTGGCACCCACCATGGGCACACCAAAGACATAGGGTAGCTCATCCCCGTGTGCTGCGTCTGCCCACTCAGGCCGGCCCTCAGCCTGGCAGTGGTGGTAGAAGGTGTAAAAGTAGACAGGGGACTGGTAGTCAGCATGCAGCTTGGCGGTGGCCACAGCTGGTGCCACCCACTGGTGGTCAGTAAAGAGGGCCAGCAGGGTCTTGCGCCGCATCTCGCCATTGTCCCGGTCGGCCCAGTCTGTGTACATAAACTTGATAGTTTCCCGCAGCACATCTTTGCCCTCTGGATAGCCATATAGGTTGTCCACAAAGTTGGAGACCGTGAAGTCAAAGGCGTCCCACTGTGCCCACAGTACCCACTGGCCCGCCTGCCTGTCCTAGAGGTTCCTGGAGGTAAGCGGGTCACAGTGATGCTGTGCCAAGAGAAAAAGCCACAGTGATGCTGTGCCAAGAGAAAGAATCCTGGGCCCATATTGACCCTCCAGCCTGGGCCTAGGCCTTGGCAGAGGCCAAACGCTTCGGCTTGCATGTCTGTGCTGTATTCACCCACCTGGATCTGCCCATAGGCCCTCTGGATCATCTGTTGTCTGTCCCTATCAGCCCCTGCCTGGTCTTTCTCTACACCAGGCTCTGACCTCTGCATGGACTGAGTCCTGATCTCAACTCCCCAAACAACCCTGTTACCATGGCAACCTTACCCAGGTGATGGGTTTCCCCTTTCCTCTCAGACCTCAGAGCTGTTTACTGGAAAGGGCCATGGGCTTAGACCCCTCTTCCTCCCTCATCTGCAGACTCACCCCCACCAAGGTTTGCTTCTTCAGACCCCTGGCCCCACTTCCTAACATCACATCAGGCACAACCAACAGTTAAACTTTTATATTTACAATATTCTCTTCATCTTTTGCCAGGTTTAAAAATGTGTACAGAGCCGCAAAGGGTTGGGGTGGGGACATGGGATTGTCAGGGAGTTGTTCTGAGGACAGGGGCTGGGCATTGGAGTCCGTGGCTGAATCATGGGGTCCCCCAGCCCCCCTCCCATGCCCCAATTCAGGGGGCATCTGCCCACAGGTTTTAGGGCTCAGGTCCCTAGCATTTAAAGGACATGGCTGTTTGGAGAAGAGCTAGACCAGGCAGGGGAAGGTGGCAGAAAAGAACTAAGTTTCCATGAGTGGAGATGGGAGAAGGGACAGTGAGGCGGCAAAGTTCTGGGAAGCCAAGACCAGGGATTCTGGATTTGGGTGTCAGTGGAAGACAACACCCCACCCCCTACTAAGCTTGACACTAACAAACCCACAAAATGCCAGCAGATGAAGATTCTCTCCTTCGCCAATGGTGTCCCTTAAAATCCTTCCTGACATCATTTTTTTCCCCAGAGGCCCAAACCCTTTCTCCTCAGGTGGGTGCTCTCCAGGCACCTCATACAAGTCCTTTCAAACTCTTCCTGCTGGAGTCCGCTCCAGCCCTGACCCCCACTGCCCCCTCCATCTCTTCCTCTGCACAGCTAACCTCATTCTCTCCCTGGCCTGTCCGTGAAACCTTTCTCCCCTGCTCTCCCCCTCCCCCACCCCCTCCATTCCCTCAGCCCCGGGTCCCATGGAAGACGGGGGTGGGCAGCTGAGGGAGCAGCTGGTCTGACACTGAGACAGGAAGGCTTCAAAGTGGGAGACAGAGATGGAGGAATGTGATTCTGAGGCAGAGAGGGAGGGCAGAGACATGGCGGGGAGAGGAGAGACACAGGCAGGACCCCTTTGGCTCCCACTTGACTTCTACTCTGTCCCACCTGCCCCCAAGTTTATCTGCCCTGGCCTGGGACTTGGGAATCCTTGGCACATTTTGGGGGTCTTCCTCTCAAACCCACCTACCCAGTTTGGCACAGATGAGCAATGGTCTGAGGACTGAGGGAAAGGCTGCCCTCAGAGCCCAATGAGGACTTTGGTCAAAAACATGCATGGCCTCTGTGGGTGGCAGGTGTCACCTCCCTACCAAACTCAGCAGCTCTGGGGGAGGGAGGGGCAGAGCTCTCCTTCCCACTATTTGTACAGCCTCCTCAGCTTTTGCTGACTGGAAGTCTGTTCCCACCTGCTGTGTGCAGAGGAATTAAGTGCTGGGCCTGAGGCCTGGGGGATGAAGGGAAGAGGCTGGAGAGAAAAGGACCCTCTGCATGGGAAAACACACATCCACATGCAAGAACATGTTTCCACTCAGAGAAATGTGTCCTGGACCCATGGGAAAACAAATTCCCAGGCAGCACAGGGATGCACGGATCTCCTCCCATCCCCCAGGCAGGGAATCTGTATCAGTCATCTGTGGAAGGCAAGGCCTACCCAGGAGAACATGCTTCATCTGACTTGTGCCATGGGGGACAAACATGCTTTGCTGGAGCATAGGAGGGTGTGGGGCAGGGCTGAGGGTGCTGTGATTTCCTTGCCCACTTCCCAGGCACCACCCTGTGTTTTCTGGTGGGCAAGGGTCACTGTGCATGAACATACCACTTCCAGGGTCTCCAAGAGGTGGGGAGGGGAGGAGGTGGGAGAAGGCATGAGGGAACAGGATTCTGGGGTACAAATCCCCGCAGAAATTCTTTGAGGGGGCCAACATGTGTCCAGGGCGGCAAAAAAAAACCTCACCCTGCACATGGGAAAACACACCCCCTCATGAGAAAGCACACCTCCACGTGGGAAAATACTTCCACGTTTCTGCACACTGAAGACTGGTGTCCCAATGGAGGAAAAAAAACACCCCCAGTTGTTCGAAGGCCCAGGTCCGGAGAAGAGAATGGGCTTCTCCATGTGGGAAAAGCACACATCCTGGTGAGGAAACCTGTGTCCACCTAACGCTCCTTGATGTGTGACAGCTCCACGCGAGAAAAGCCTGCTGCCAAGTCCTCCTCCCTCCCTTCAAGTGGCACTTCCCACCGGACTTGCCGGGAGGGCTGGGGAGGAGGGCCTCCCCAGGCCGCCCCCTATACCCGAGTAGTGGAGTGGGGGTGCGGTAGCGTGTTGTTGTGGCTGGGAGCAGTGGCAGGAGGTGGGGGAAAGGGCCCAAAGGGATGGAGGGACGGGGGTGGTGGTGGTGGTGGAGGCCCCAGGCCACTGGGCAGCAGGGTCAGGGCCCCAGGGGCCAAGAGAGGCACATCGTCCGGTGCCCGGCGCAGGGCCAGGGTGTAGTCGGGTGGGCAGGCGGGGCGCAGGGCCTCAGCAGGGTCTGCCCCCACGCCACCGCCCCGCTTCAGCTGCAGTGATACCAGCTCCTCCTCTGGGGGCAGCTCACGGCCCGCAGTGGGAAGCAGAGGGCCTCCACCAGGCACACCAGAGCCTGAGCCGCCGGGTGGGCTGAGCCGCCTGCACCGCAGCTCCTGCCGCCGGTCCCGCTTATAGTAGAGGGCAGCAAAGGCGAGGATGTTGAGGAAGAGGAGGGAGGCGCCCACGGCCACAGTGACACTTAGCTCCGTGGAGTAGTCCCGTGAGTCCCCGGGGAAGCGGTCGTAGGCCCTGGGGCCTGGCTCGGGCTCGGGCTCAGGTGGCAGGGTGGCGGGCGGTGGGGGCCGGCGTGTGCCTGGGGCGCCAGGGGGTGGGCGAGGCGGCCAGCGCGTGGCGTAGGGAGGCAGGCGCGTGGTGGTGGTGAAGAGCTCTGTGTGCAGGTTGTGCAGGTGGGGCACGAGCTCCAGCCAGAAGGCCACCTTGTTGGCGCGGTAGTTGTCACGCACACGAGGCTTCAGGCCAATGTGCAGGTACTGCTTCTCTTTGCTGTTGAACTTGCTCCATACCACCTCCTCAAAGCGGTTGGGCTTGGTGTGGATGAACTTGGTGTCCTGCGGCACCGGCTGGTTGGGGTCGCTGTGGGCACAGGAGGGCAAGGAAAGGAGTGAGGGTGAGGCTCCGATGGGGGCTGGGTGTGTGTGGGAGGAATGGGGAGGAAGACAGATGTACAGAGCCAGGGAAACAGAAAGAAAGAAAAAAAGAGAGGCAGATAGAGAGAGATGGAGACAAGGGGACAGAGAAACTGTCAGAGACAAATAAGGATGGAGATGGACTACCAGAGACAGGCAGAGATCAGGATAGAGGAGGAGAGACAGGCAGAGACAGGAAAAGAGATAGCCAGTGAGAGAGGCAGAAGCTGAGATTAAGTGAGATAGAGACATACAGAAACAGAGAGACAGAGACACATGAGAGACAGCCAGGGTGAAAGCCGAAAGTAAACAGATCAAAGACAGCAGAGAGAAAGGGAAAGGTACTAGCGGATTTCAAGAGAGAAATGTAGAGACAGAAATAAAGAAACAAACACAAACCCTTACATATACTCAGATTGTACACAGAGTGGAGCAGAAAGAGGGCAAAGCACTGGGAGAAAGAGAGAAGGTGGGTTGGCAAGAGACTGAAGGAGAGACAGACATGGAGGCAAAGTTAGCAAGGGAGCCTACCCCGAGAAAGGACAAGCTTTTCCATCTAACTGCTCCATCTCCAGCATGCAACTCAGTGCTTGCACTGAGAAATTGTCCAGCAAGCGTCTGAGTCGAGAAGGCAGGAGTACCTTACCAGAGGACTGATGGCGTGTAGGGAGTAAGGGAGAGCAGGAGCAGGGGATGGAGGGTATGTATGCCTTGGCTTGTAGGGGCGCCCCACTCAGCCCCTCTGGCCCTCACCCAGTCTTGGCGAAGTTGGTCCAGTAGGTCATGACCACGGCGCTGAGCATGACATCATTCTTGGAGAAGTTGCAGGGGAAGAGGTCGGTGGCACCCACCATGGGCACACCAAAGACATAGGGTAGCTCATCCCCGTGTGCTGCGTCTGCCCACTCAGGCCGGCCCTCAGCCTGGCAGTGGTGGTAGAAGGTGTAAAAGTAGACAGGGGACTGGTAGTCAGCATGCAGCTTGGCGGTGGCCACAGCTGGTGCCACCCACTGGTGGTCAGTAAAGAGGGCCAGCAGGGTCTTGCGCCGCATCTCGCCATTGTCCCGGTCGGCCCAGTCTGTGTACATAAACTTGATAGTTTCCCGCAGCACATCTTTGCCCTCTGGATAGCCATATAGGTTGTCCACAAAGTTGGAGACCGTGAAGTCAAAGGCGCTGGCAGACACACCGTCCTCGCTCTCTGCAGAGTCCTCCACGAACTTGAGGCCTTCTCCTTGGTTGACCCCAATGAGCATGTCGTAGTTGAGGAATTCTCCCTGCTGCATGAGGATCTCAGGGTCATCGGGGACGACGTCACCGTCAACCACGGGCCCGAAGGCAATGTGGTAGCTGGGGAGAGGGGTCAGGGTCTCATCACTTGCTCACTAGCCTCCTCTTAGCTCATAGCCTGCTGAGCCCTCTGCATGGAAGACCCACCTCCCCAAGCTAAAGTCTCCTATGAGTCCTCCAGGGCACTTGGCCTCTCGGGAAGTCTTCCCTGAAGCACTTCATGGTGCCTTGTGCACACTTGCTCTGCTTAGGCTCCTCCACTTAGAGAAGGCTTCTGAGAGAAGGCAGGACCACTACAGGGGCCTGAAGCCCACCTCTCCTTGTCAAATGAAATGCCTGCGGGCCCCTCTCACCCTCAACCTCCTTGGAACCAGCAAAAAAAGGGAAGGCCTGGATGCAGCCCTTCCCCACCCCCTACCGGGCAGGCTGCACATCCTGGTCCACCAGCTCCCGGGAAGGCTTCCGGCGCAGACACTCCACAGCTTCGGCACTGTCCTCTCGGTCACAGCCCACCTTGGCCGCCAGTAGCCGAGTATACTTGAGTGGCTGGTAGTTGACAGACCAGCTGGAAATGGCGGTGCCACTCTGGGCGATGGCCTTCTGGAACAGCCCTGGAAGGATAGGCTGGCTTCAGGCTGGGCTGTCTCAGCCCAGGGAAGAAGGGAGACCTGGTAGGGTCAAGGGTATGGGAAAGGGAGCAGGAGGGACAGGGTGAGGAGGTTGCCGGTACCTTCTGAATGGTGGGAGAGAATCAGAAGGTTGACACAGGAGGCCCCAGCCCCAGACCCAAAGATGGTGATGCGCTCGGAGTCACCCCCAAAGTGGGCAATGTTTTCACTGAGCCAGCGCAGGGCCTGGATCTGGTCTAGGAGCCCATAGTTGCCTTTTGCAGCCTGGTCTCCAGTGCTGAGAAAACCTGGGAGTGGAGGAAGAAAGGGAGCTCCCTGGGGGTGTCATGGCGCCCTTACCCCTTTTCTGGGCAATTTGGACCAGCCCAGAAGCTATTCTGCTTCTGATGGGTTTATAGGAACCCTGCCCACCAGGCCCCCCTCCCAGATTCTAGCCCCTAGACTTGGCTGCCCCCCCCTCACCGAGCACCCCAAGCCGGTAGTTGAGTGTGGCTACAATGACGTTGCCATAGGCGGCCAGGACAGAGCCATCGAACATGTTCCCAGTGCCCTCCATGTAGGAGCCGCCATGCAGAAACAGCATCACAGGCTTCTTCCCGGAGTCCCGGATATCTGCGCGGGGAGGGGGTGGGCAGGTAGGCAAGGGGTGGGGGACAAGGACACAGTCAGACCAGAAGTGGCACTGCCTAGCTCCCAGGTCTGCTGAGGACCAGCCTGGAGCACAGGAGACATGTCATTCCCATCCCTGGGGGGCAAGACCGGATTCCCCTCCCTCCCTCCCCAGCTAGCCCTGACAGAAGGTCCCTCCCTACCTCCTGCCAGCCTGCCCCACAGCACTTCTCCAAATGCCAGGCAGACCTTCCAAGAAGCCTAACAGAGGCAGGGGTGGGGAGTGGCCCTCCTCAGGGCATCTGCTGGATCCAGGGGACCCCCCTCCCCTGACACACTGCAATTTCCTTCCTACTCCTAGGAAGAGTGAGCTCCCAATGCTGGCACTGGAGCTAGAGATGCTGGGAGGGTTCTGGTGTTTTCTTAGACTCAGGCCGTGGGCCTTAGCTCCTCGTGGTAGCCTGGCCAGTGGGTGAGGGGGTGCCAAGCCCTAGGGTCCCTGGGGACTTGGTCTCCTCCTTGCCCTAATTCCTTTCTAGGTTACCTCCCCAGTTACTATGACAACCCCCAGCCTAATTACTGTGGCTGGAGGAGGCAGGGTGGGAAAAGAACCTGCTTAATGAAGCCAGGGTGCAGCTGTCTAGTCTGGGACCCCCCCACACTGGCCTGAGCCCTAGGTTCTGCAGTGGACCCTTTTCTTGCCATGTCCCAACAGGATTCTGTAATCACCGCCACATGCAGCAGGCCCTGAGGCACTCCAGACCAGATTGAGGAGTGACTAGGTCTCAAAAAGGGTGGGAGTCTGAGAGGGCTTGCCACAGTCCACAGAGCTGTAATTAGTACCCTCCCCTGCAGCCCTTCCATACTCAGCCACAGTGCCAGGGTTGGGGTCACCGCTGGCCCCAAGGCCCTCCTCTTTCTTGACACCTGTACCCTCTGACTAACCAGGATGCTCGGCAAACAAGAGCCAGACCTAGGCCTCCACACATGGTCCCCAGGGCCTCTGCCACCTCTCTCTAGAAAGCTAGAAACTTTTTTCCAATCAGAAAGTCAACCAACAGCTCACCAAGGCACTCCCCTCCAGTCCCCACAGACAGCTTCCTGCCTCCTTTCTCTTCTACCTCTCTTCCCCTGACTTTGGCCAGGAGCTCCCAGGGGGGCAGTGCCCTCTCTTTGTCCTTCCCAACAAAGAAATCCTCTTCATCCCTTTGGTCCTGAATCTCCACTGGCCTTCCAGCAGTTCAACCTGGAGTCTCCTTCTCTCCAAGGTCCTGTCCTAAATGTCCTGGGTTCTCACTTCTCCACCCCACCCAGCACCTCCACTCCCGGTGTGGGGGCAGGGGGAATCAGAAAGGGAAGGAGCAGGAAGGGGGGCTGGGGAAACAAGAATTCAAAACCAACAACAAAAAACAGGATCAAGAAAGAAGAAAGAAAGAAAAAACAACAACCAAAAAGCAAGAAGCTCTCGGGGCAGAATCAGCAAGAAAAGAAAAAAAAAAAGATCCATTTTTGGAAAAAAAGAAAAAAAGAAAAAAGTTCTCTGCATTTTTTTTTTCAAAATTTCACGGTGAAACTTCAAGATATTGGGCCCTGTTTTCAAAATTTTCCAAATTCTTTAATTTGCTTCAAATGTTTGTATTTTCTGCATCTGATAGGCTTTTGGAAATTGTAGCAGGTTTTTGTGTTTCAATCGTGTCATCAATTTGCCAACTTAAATTTTTTTTCAAATGTTGTTTTGTATCCAAATTAAAATTGTTTTTTTCAAATGTTACATTTCACAAGTTTCAAAACAGTCCAAATTTCTGTCAATATTTTATCCAATTCTTTGGTGGCTTTTTTTTCTCTGACACTCCAATTTCTGTTTTCACGTTATGCCACACTTAGCTTTTCTTGCAGGTTTTCTAGTGGGTCCAACATTGTTCAAATTTCGTTTGAAGTTTTCATAATTCTTTTTTCCAATTATTACAAATTTTTCTTTTCTTTCCTTTTTCGTTTTTAGTTAGGAAAATGACTGAGGGGCCTTGAGGGCTGTGGGGCATTTAGTTAGGGGCAGGGCCATGAACGTCCTCTTATCAGCAACCACATGCAGCAGCGGGATTTTTAAATCTACCTGTGTCTGGCGGATTGAGCGTCGCCTCGTCACGTTTTTTTGTGAGCGGACCTAAGACCGGGAACACAAAACAGAGAAAAAAGGACAATTTTGTGGGGAAAGATGGGGGTCAGGGGAGGTGGTGGATGGGGAGGGGAGGAGAGAAAGCAGAAAAGGGGAGGGTGGGGGGCGGAAAAAAATAAGCCAAAAAAAGCAAAATTTGTTTGCAAGAAAAAGAAACCAAGAAAAGAGAAAAACGTTTCTACAACCCAATTTTGTTCCCCTCCCCAGAAAAAGTCATGCCCCAAAGAAAAGGCTGGTTTTGGCGGGGTGGGGTGCCTGAGTGGGCTGAGGCCTGTCTGAAGAGATATTGACTTGGCTGGAAAGTATTTGGCTTGTAGAAGTGTTTGCTAATTGCTGGAAATGAAACGGTGTTAGAGGTTGGGGGGGGAAGCCCACCCGGGAGGGAGCCCAGGAGCCCAAGGCCAGCTGTGCCATCCAGGCCACCAGTCCCACTGGTCCTCTTCAGGGCCAGCCAAGCACCAGAGAGGAGGGGCTGCAGCACAAAGGACTCTGCTTCCCCCTGGACCAATCTGGAGGGCGGAGAGTAGGATGGGGTTGGAAGCAGCCTGCCCCTACTGCTTGCAGCCCCTGGAAGCTCTCAGCTCCTCACTGGAGGGCTATGGGTAGGTTAACTAGGGCTGTCTGCCCACCTGCCCAGCCTCTCACCCACCAGCATTTCTCTTCCATCTGCACTCACAGGCCTGACTTCTCACCCCATCTCCCCAGTGTGGGGCAAAGCAGGGAAAGGGGTCATCAGGTCTTGCCCTCCACTCCACCTCTTCCCTCTGCACCCCCAACCTCATCCCTTACCCAGGCCTGCTCTCCTCCCCGACAGATGGTAAAATCCCCATAAAAGGCACCAGCCCCCCACCAGCCCCTGCTCTAGTGCCAAAATGCCCTCCCCAGTTGGGGGTTCAGTCCACAAATAGGGGATAGGGAATAGGAAACACAGTGCCCTGAGCTAGCTGACACATAAAGTGCCAGGAGGTGTTCAGATGCACAAAGTGTGCCCGCTGTCAAGGAAAGGCCCCAGACTGGGCTAGGAGTTCAGCTCCAGGCTTCCTTCAGACTGGGGGATTGGTCAGGGGACAGCTGGAACCCAGAGGGCTGAGGGGGTCTCCAAGGCTGATGGGTTTCTTCCCAGTGGCATGAGGGCCAACATGGGGAGGGATGGGCCAGAGGTGCAGGCCAGCCTCTGGAAGGCTTCTCCCAATGGGTGGGGACAGCCCCATGGGCACCAGTTAGGATCAGGGCCTGTTCTTCTCTGTGGCAGGATGGGGGTGGGGATGAAGTCAGCAGGGCACGTGTAAGAATATTGTGTGTGTGTGGTGTGTGTGTGTGCAGGCATATGCCTGAGTCAACCTCTTCCTCTCAGAGCTGGTGTGAAGACTCAGTGAGATCACCTGAATGTGTCAGGCCCCAGGCAGATCTGTGATAAGCAATAGTTAAAAATACAGAAGGTGTGGGCATGGGTGGTGCGGGGGCAGGCTAGACAGTTGTGTGGAGGTTTTGGAGTGGACAGTCCATTGGTGGGAAGTACTGGGTGGGTATCTCACATGAGGGGTGGTGAGACAGACCGCCCACTGAGGGGGACATTGGGATGGACAGCCTACATGTAGGTATGGGCAGGGAGAGTCCCTGAGCAGGAAGCAGAGATGGACAGTATGTGTGCAGGCACTGGGGTGAATGATTTGCATGAAGTGGGCACCAGAGCAGGTGGCCCAGGAGGGCAGGGGGATGTGGATGGTTCTCATGGAAGGGTGCTGGGGTACTGGGGAGGATGTGTGGAGTGTACTGGGGTAAAGAATCCACTGGGTCCTTGGAATCTGGACAGGATTGGAGCAGATGCTTCTGTGCATTACATTTATGGGCTGCTAGGAGGCATGGTTTACATGGGAAGGGGTTGTTACTGCGCGTTAGGGTATGAGGAATAGAGGGTGCATGGTACTGGGAGGTATTGGGAAGGACGCTGGTGGATTGGGGTGCATGAGGTGTCCTGTGACTGGCATGAGAAAACTCTGGGTGCAGGGACTGAGGTGTTGGAGTACTTGATGCGTGAGTAGGGTTTGCTGGGTGTGCTGTCACAGCCTGAGGTATGATACGGAGGCTCTCCAGGTTAGCTAGGATAGACACCATTTGGGAATTGTTGAGGGCATTGAGGGCTGTGGTATGAGTGGCCTGTTGGTACACATGGTCCAGGTCCAGGGCTACTGGGGTAAAGGTCTGTGTATGGATGTTACTAGGGCATGATCATATCCAGGGATCCTGGGGAGCTCAGGTCAGTGTGGGTGACGGTGAAAATTCAGAGAAGAGTTGGGCGTGTGCTGTGCGAAGGTGCTGGGGATTCTGATATGTAGGATGCTGGAGCACATGGTTAGTGTGTAGGTTGGGTGGGTGCCTACCTGATTAGAGTGTTAAGGAGTTGAGATTACTGGTCTGTAGCGGAACTTAAATCCACGTGGCTGTGTACGTATGTAGGAGTTCCAGGGCACCAAGCCTATGTGTAAAGTTGTTGGAACATGGCCTGTGGGGAGTATTGTAGGAGCATATGGTCTTCATGGAGGTGTTGGGTGTTTGAAGTAGTGACACAAGGTGGTAGAAGGACAGTGGGGGCTTCTTGTGAGGATGGTCCGCTGGGGAGGCTGCAGTGCTTCGTGTCCCTCTGTTGCAGATAGCTGGGAGGCACCCTGATTAATCATGGTGCTGAAAGTTGATGGGTGGAAGGCTGTCTGGGGAGTGTACTGAGGGCTAGGCGCAGTGGTGTGGTGAACTGGAGAGCGCATGACAAGAGCAGCCTGCTCCAGAGCACCAGGGAAGGTGTTCTGTGGGGATGGCTGTGCTATGCTGTGAGTGGCTGGATCCTTGACAGGGAGCTTCCCTGATCCTTCAGGGATACAGGGGTCTGGGGACACAGCATCCTAGAGAAGAGGCACTCAGCTCAGGTGAACGGCTCCAGGTGATGTGACATATGGAAGGCTGCCCAGGCCAGCTCACCTGGAGAAAAGGAGGTGTCTGTGTTGTCCATGAGGTGTAGATATAACTAAAGTGGCTATTCGGTGGGGACCAGCCCAGGCCTGGAGGCAGGAGGTGGGGCAGAACTGGAGTGGTGCCCAGGCAGGTGATGGATGCCTCTCTCACCTGATTACCCTCAGTGGCCATTCTGTGTGCCTCTGTGGGGATGGGATAGGTAAGTCCGGACTGGTGCCCGCAGCCCTTACCATCAGCTCTCTGTGGGCACAAAGAACTGTGTGGCTGTCTGTGGGAATCTTGGGAATGCCTGACAGGCACCCGTACCACCCTGGGAGGGGACAAAGATGCTGCAGGTCCATACTGCCCCTCAGAGCCCCCAAAAAGGCCAATCTTCTGGTCTGAGTGGTGCCAGTGCCTGAGGGTCTGTGTGTGCTTCTGTGGGCTATGTCCATGGGGCCCAGGTTGGTGCCCATGCCCTTACCGTCCTCGGTGGGCACGTAGAGGTTGAGGTACAGGCAGTCCTCACTCTGGTTCTGCACATAGGTGGCGGCTGCCTCCAAGTTGTCGGTGAACCACACAGGCAGCATGATGGCGGGTAGCGCCCCATGCAGGTTCTGCGGGCAGGCGGGCGGCAGGGTGGTGGCGTTGCGCACGCCGGGCCACGAGGCGGGGGCCTCAGGCGGCTGGAAGCGGCGGGCACCCAAGGGTGGCGTGGCGTATGGCACACCCAAGAACTGCACGACGGGGCCCAGGATCTCGTTGTTGAGCTCACGCCGCACACCGCGCACTCGCCCGTAGGCTGTGTTCACCACTGGGAAGCGCTCCTCCCCGAGGCTGCCGAGGCCCAGGCCCTGGCCGACTGGGGTGCCACCACCAGGGACCCCTCCCCCCCGTTGAGCCCCTGCCAGCCCCACAAGACACAGCGCCAGGAGCCACATGCTGATTGGGGCCCCCCCTCCCTCCCCGGGACCCCCCCCTCGGAGAGAGAGAGAAGGGGGGGAGAGGGAGGGAGGCCCCCCTCGCCCCAGTAGGGAGGAGGGGGTGGGGGAAAGGAGGGAGGGGGGGGGTGGGGAGGGACCTGGGTTAGACTGGACAGAGAAGGGGTCTATTCCTCTCCATGGAGGGGGCAAGGGGTGGGGAAGGGGAAGGAAGTGGGAGAAGGTAAAGGCAGGCCCAATCTGCAGGGAGGAGGGTCAGGGTATGCAAGATACAGACAGACAGACCGACAGACAAAAATACAGAGAGGCGGAAGAAGGGAAGGGAGATTGGATGGATGGACAGAAAGGGATGGGGAAACAGAAGAGACAAGTGGTTAGTGACTTGGAATTCAGACCAAGTTGACCCCCTTCTTCCACTCTCTGGCTCCCTGGCACCTCCCTGCACCCAGCAACCCCCTCCCCTCAGCAGGGACCCAGATAGAAAAGTCTGAGGCTGGGGGTGGGGTCAAGATTTGGTGTATGTCCAGGATAGGGCCCGTGGAGGTCAGCCCCCCCATGCAGCTCTCCTGCTTCCACTGCTTTATCCCTCCCAGGCCGGTTCTGCTCTGGGACTCAGGAGTCCCAGTTCCCACTTCCCCGGGAGGGATGAGATAGACAAGGAGGAGAAAATAAAAATACCAAGTCTTTAATTAGCAAGAAGTGGCAGGTTTGTTTATACGTGTTAATTACTCCTCAGCTGTAATTTTATGGCACTGAACTCCCACCCCAGGCCAGATTCAGGCCTTTCTTGGGACTGTACAGGGCAGCACCTTCTCTTCCCTTTACAATCCCGTTCCCTCCCTAAGGATTTGCACAGGGGGAAACCGGAGACCCCTTTTCCCAAGGCCCTCCATTTCTTCCCTCAGATGTTAAGGTGGCTTGAGGCAGGGGCTAGAGTAGGGAGGGGATGCTGGAGGGGCAAATCCAGGGACAGATGCATGATTCTGCTGCCGGTTGCTGGGCGACGGGATGCTGCCCCGCAATGTTACCTCGGCAACGAGCTGCAGCTTTAACCCTGGAGGGGGGTCTGGAGGAAGAGGGGAAGGGGCTGGCTTGGTTATGGGGTCCATTCAGAGAATGAAGGCAGAGGCATGAGTCAGAATGCTAGTTTTCCCCAACCTTAGTATAGACTAAGAAGTATATATATGTTGAGGGAAGTGGGAGGTTTGGGGTAGAGGGAACCCTAAAAGATCCACCTCTTGCTCTTTTTGGCCAATCAGAGCCTAGCCCTAGTGACCAGGCCTCTGGCTGGGGAGAAGGGGTGCTGAGGTGGGTTTGGAGGGCATCAGACACTCCCCCCAACGGCCCCTCAACAGTCTTGAACAGCTGTGGACCCCTAGACACCTCCTCTTCCATGCCCAGCATTTTGACCCATGTCCTGGGGCAAACCTGGGCTTTCTTATCCCATCCAGCTATTCCCCTCCCCTTCCCCCTGCCAGCACCCTCCCCCAGTTACTGCTCTGATGCTTGGGTGCTCAGGGCAGCAGGGGCAGGACAAGGGAAGTGATCAGACTGAAGGGGCAGACACCCAGGTCATTTCAGTAAGCGCCCCCTGTCCCCCCACCCCCAGCCACTGGAGCTGTTTGCTGACGCGGGGTTTTCAGAGCCAGGCACCAGCTCGCGGGTGGCTCTCTGCAGGTGTCAATTTATTCCAGAGATGAGGACACAGGAATCCTTACCACACACACCAAGTCATGCCCTTCCCCTCTTCAGGTCCTCTTAAGCTCCTGTTCCCCCACCACCTGGAAGGGGCTTGGGGCTGGGTCCCTCAGAATCTCCGTTGCCCATGCCAGGCTGGGCTCTGCTTCCTTGGTCCTGCCGCCCCTCCCCCTAACATGGTTGGCCTCTGTCAGCCCCCTTCCCTGAAGGTACTTTGAGCCCCCTGGCCTCCTCCCTGCCCGCTTTTCTCCCTTCTTCCCTCCCCCGCCCCCCATCGCTCCTCCCCACAGCTCTCCCTCTGAGCATCTTCCCCGGCCTCTTCCAGCTTGCTCCAGCTCTTGCCTTCAGCCCTCTCCCCTCAGTTTTTTTCATCTCTCCCCCACATCTCCCTCCTTGGTATTTCTCATCTCTCTCTCTCTCTCTCTCCTTCAAATCTTTTCCCCAAACCTCTTCCTCTAGCCCCTTCTATTTCTCTCTCTTTCCCTGGCTCCCCCATTTTCTCTCCCTGCTCTCCCATCTCTGTCTGCCACATCTTGCTTCCCCCTCCTTCTCCCTATCCCTCTGCCCTGCTCTCTCCGTTCCTGCCCAGGCCTGACTCCCCCAGCCAGGGACAGTTGAGGAAGGGGGGCTCAGGACGCAGGCGCCCCCCCCCTTCCTGCAGTGGGGAAAATGGCTTGGCCGGGAAGGGGAGAAGGGGGGGGTGGGGGAGGGGAGATGGGAACACACGGGGTCTGTGGGCCCATTCAAAGGATCATTCATGGACTGGAGAGAGGCAGAGACAAAGAGACCGAGACGCAGAGACACGGCGAGAGCATCCCTAGGCGGAGACAAGCAGACATAGCGGCTGGGGGAACCAGGCGCAGGGAGAGAGATGGGGAAACGGAGACCCCAGTGGACCGCCACTCACCCCCCCCTCCACACGGCCCGGCTTAGCTCCTACCTGGCTCAGCCCTGGGGCCGTGGTGCCTCCATCCAGGGCTCCGAGTAGGGGGCGGACGGGCTTCGGGAGGGGGGCGGCGGCCTCTAAGCCCCCGCGGCCCCGCAGGCCCAGCCCCCGCCCGCAGCGCCTCACCCGGAGGGGGAAGGGGATCGCCCCAGCCCCGGGGGGCGGGGCCGGGATCCAATCGATCCCCGGGGAAAGGGGTGGCAGGGGTTGGGGTCAGGAGGAACCCTAGAACAGGGAACCCCGCAGTGGGGGCGGCGGACCAAGGAGGGGGCAACGGGACAGGACTGGATTAGGGATCCACTGGCTCCGTGGGCCGGCTTCGAAGGACCAGAAAGCAGTACAGGCGGAGAATCCTAAGGGATCGGGTCTGGGAGGAGTCCACGGCAATCCCCAAGGGCCAGGAGCCTGGGAGCGCAGGATCCGCGGTGCAGGGGCAGGGATCCAGCCGGAATCCTCGGGGAGGGAGAGGGATCTAGTCGATCCCGAGGGCGGGCGGGAGGGGGAGGTCCAGGGAGTCAGATGAGGGCGGGAGCCAAGTCTGGAGCCCCAGGGCGGGGGTCGGCACGGTTCCTAGGAGGGAAAGCGGGCGATAAGGGGGAGGTTCCGGGGGACCCTCAGCAGCCGGGAGGCCCCGACTCCTGGCTCCGCGCGCCAGGGCCCGCCCGCCCCGCGTCCATCCTAGCCCGAGAGTGATGATCCGCCGGCGGAGCAGCCGCAGCAGCCCCGCGCGTCACCGCGCGGCCGCCTCCCCCGCCCCCTGCGGAGAGAGCCGCGCACACCCCTCGCTTGCACCCGCCTGCCCGCCCGCCCTCCAGAGCGTGGGGGAATTGAAGACGTGGAAGGGGCGGGAGTGGACAGACCGATGGACGGACGAAACAGGCCGGGGCAAGATGGGGACAACCCCCAGACCTCCCACCCTCGGGCCTCTCACAGTTTGTGGGGAGAGGGTGGGGAAGGAGGAGTGAGCGAAAGGGGAGGGGCATCATTAGAAGAAGGCGGAGCCTTTGGGCGTGGAGGAGGAGCCATCTAGATCAGGGCGTGGTTTAAATATGATGGGTGGGGCTGGGTAGCTGTGGGCCGCCTCCTTTTGGGAGTGGGTCTGGTTTGAAGCTTAAAAGGAGGAGCCTGTGGAGAAAGGGGAGGAACTTTGCGTGTGGACTGGGATCTTTGGAAATTGGCCGGAGGTGGAGGGGGGAGTGTTAGAAGAGGGCATCAATTTGGAAAGTGGGCCAATCCGTGACGCAAATCCTCTAGTGCCGCCCCTCTCGCATCGCTCCGCTGCTCAGCTCCTAATTGGTTCTGGTTTCTCCGCCCGCCAGACATCTTAGCCACTCAACAGAGGTTTTACAAAGGCTCACGGGTGAGGACCTGGACTCTGAAATGAACACGGCCCGGATTGGGCACCTGTGGGCCTTATTTGCATGCCAGATCGGGATTGGCTGGCCTCTTTGGGCGGTGTTCGTCGCGCGCGTGACCATCCACTGCCATGGCCGGGCTCCGGGCTGCATTCCGTCGTGTGGGCGCTTTGTCCGGAGCGGGGGCCTTAGGCTTGGCCTCCTACGGAGCACACGGTCAGGGGACTGGGAACTGAGCTGGGATTGTGCTCGGTGGGAGCCTTTGGGGTCTGTTACAAGGGCGGAGTCTATGGGAAGTGTCCGGGCTCCAACTGACCAGATAGACCTCGGAGCCCTAAATCTTTTACAGCACCTCAGCCCGGTCCAGTTGGTTCCCAGAACTGCCCTTACGTGTGTCCACATATCAGAAGCCTTCTGGGGAGCCCTCTGTCGGCAGTGTTCACCTGGGTCCCTCCGGGATTGGGGGTGGTTGGGAACTGGTCTAGAACTGGTAACCTTTGCTTCTCCTTTCGACAGGCGCCCAGTTCCCCGATGCCTATGGAAAAGAGGTGAAGTAACAACGCTGGGGCTCTGCGACTTACGGGTCTATGAGGGCACAAAGTCCTGGGTACCTGAGGGCAGGAGGAGAGGGGCGGGGCACGGGTCTTTGGAGTTACAAGGGCTGCAAGCCTGAGGCTTGGGTGCTTGCAAAGGCCAGCTGGGACTTAAGTGGGTGATGAACTTACTTGCGTTGTGTCCCCACAGGATCCAGCCTCCTGCGTTGCTTAGGAAGTTCCCCATCTCTCTTTTTCTTACAGCTCTTTGACAAGGCCAACAAACACCACTTCTTACACAGCCTGGCCCTGTTAGGGGTGCCCCATTGCCGAAGGCCCCTCTGGGTAATCTTACCCTTACCCTAACCCTTACCGAGCCTCGCCCACTCCCTCTCAGTCTGCCTGTTTCTTATTATCCTGTATTCTTCCTTGTATCTCCTTCAGGCCGGGTTACTGCTAGCCTCTGGA